GAGGGAGGGAAGGAGGAATAGAGGGAGGGAAGGAATAGAGGGAGGGAAGGAAGGGAGGGAAGGAAGGAAAGAGGGAGGGAAGGAGGAATAGAGGGAGGGAAGGAAGGAAGGAAGGAAGGGAGGGAAGGAAGGAGGGAGGGAAGGAGGGAGGGAAGGAAGAATAGAGGGAGGGAAGGAAGAAAGGAAGTGAGGGAAGGAAGGAGGGAGGGAAGGAGGGAGGGAAGGAAGGAGGAATAGAGGGAGGGAAGGAAGAAAGGAAGTGAGGGAAGGAAGGAGGGAGGGAAGGAGGGAAGGAAGGAGGGAAGGAGGGAGGGAGGGAAGGAGGAATAGAGGGAGGGAAGGAAGAAAGGAAGTGAGGGAAGGAAGGAGGGAGGGAAGGAGGGAGGGAAGGAGGGAGGGAAGGAAGGGAGGAATAGAGGGAAGGCTTCAAGGGACGATATGACAGGAGTTCCACTTTAAAACAAATCCTAATTCTTTGTAATCCTGTAATATGAACTCCGCACAGAGGGGCGTGTCTCCTAGGACAGGACACACCCCCGAGGTCTGCTAATACATCTATTCTAGCTCACCTGTCATCGTGGGCGAAGAGCGAGCGGTGACAGTCCCCAAAGTCCAGACCCCAGATCTTTATATTCCGATCGGCAGAGCCGGTGACGATGATGGCGCTGTCCTGCAAGAACCACCCGTGATTAGTCCCGTTATGTTGGCCGGAGCAGGAAACAATATAACTGGTTGTAGACATCGCCCATGACAGATACAGTCTGAAAACGTCATCCGTGTAATTTAGGGGTGCTTAGTACACCCACCAGCCCCCTCCTCCCCCGCAGAGCCCCCCCGCAGCATTCACCAGCAATATGAATATGAGGTCGGGGGGTCTTACGCCGGATCAGATGTGTAATACTCACATAGGAGATGTCCATACACAGGACGGGCAGCTTGTGTCCATACAGAGTGAGGAAGAACTGCAAAGACAGACGCAGAGTGTGAGAGCGAGAATTACAACGTGACCACGAGGAGCGACCCCGGGGGTCCCGGCCGTACCTTCAACGTGTCAACAAAGAAGGTTTTCACCGTGCAGTCCAGCAGAGACACCGCGAGGAGACGACTGTCCGGGCTATAGCGCACGCACAGCACGTCCTCGTCCATCTGTAACACGCGAGTCTGCTTCACGGAGAGGCGGCGGCTGTGGGGGCGGGGCAACAGAAGCAATGGAGTGAGTTCATTGGGGGACATGGGAGAGCTCAATGTAGGTTCTGCTAATACATCTGTTGTCCTAGGACAGGACACCACCCCCCCCCCCCCCCCCCCCCCCCCCCCCCGGACACCCCCCCCCCCCCCAACCCCCCCCAGGTCTCCTACTACATCTATTCTCCTAAAACAGGACACACCTCCAAGGTCTGATAATACATCTATACTCCTAGGACAGGACACACCCCGAGGTCTCCTAATATATCTATTCTCCTAGGACCAAACACACCCTCCAGGTCTGCTAATGCATCTATTCTCCTAGGACAGGACACACCCCTGAGGTCTGCAAATACATCTATTCTCCCATGACAGGGCACACCCCTGAGGTCTCCTAATACAAAAGATCTATTCTCCCATGACAGGACACACCCCTGAGGTCTGCAAATACATCTATTCTCCCATGACAGGACACACCCGAGGTCTGCAAATACATCTATTCTCCCATGACAGGGCACACCCCTGAGGTCTGCAAATACATCTATTCTCCTATGACAGGACACACCCGAGGTCTGCAAATACATCTATTCTCCCATGACAGGGCACACCCCTGAGGTCTGCAAATACATCTATTCTCCCATGACAGGGCACACCCCTGAGGTCTCCTAATACAAAAGATCTATTCTCCCATGACAGGACACACCCCTGAGGTCTGCAAATACATCTATTCTACCAGGTCTGCTAATACATCTATTCTCCTTTCAGAAATTGGGAAAAAATGAGAGAAAGGTTATTATTAGATATGAATCTGTGGGTCACGTGCCGTGATGGAACAGTCCATACCCAGGACAAGAAATCAGGTTAACGCTCCCCATCGGGATGATAGAAGGTTCTAATCCTTTCAGGCACCATACCACCCTAAATAATATTACATGTGCATTTATAAAAGCCTCCCTTGTGCAGACATCCAAAAGCTCTAAGGGTTTCCGCCATCTTGGATGTGATGTCCGTTGCCCGGTGGACTCAGAGCTGTCACCCAAGTCACAAACTATAGCAGATC